GCAGCCGAGCAGATATTATCACAGATCATATCAAATACTTTGATAAATTCTCATAATGTAATATGGCAAATTTTTGGGGATAACAAAAATTCCAAGCACGATGCAAGGAAAAAACTGAGAACCCTAGCCTGGGCCAAAAGAATTGAAACAATTTAAGAAATTCTCCTCAAATCTATTATCTTTGGACATTGTTGTACCAATCAACACCAAGTATATTAAAATCCATAATTATGATAAGCCCCATCAAGTTTATTCATTTAATTTACATCTTCTTCTGAATTAAAATGTGTGGGAGAAATTCAATATGCATGATGATTTTTAAGAAAAATTCGAAATCTCCACAGGAAGATTTGGAAATTAAACATTAATTTATTCAAAAAATACGCTAAAATCTGCATTTAATATTCTACTGATGTCTAATCGAAAAAATTTTGTGAGAAATTCTGCCTTTCATTAACCATGGATATTTAAGGTAATGGTTAATAAGCTCGATTTTATCAACAAAATCATTTCCATTGTAAAAAAAAATGCAAAGGATTTCTTCCTGTTAATTATCAATAAAGTCGAAAAAAGTATCAGTTTCACTAGGCATAATAAATGGGCATAATAGTAATAATACCATAAAAATTTTATTTGCACAGCAGAATCCATCTTTATTTACATTCAAATATTTATTCAATTTTGTGAGAGGAAAAATAATCTGGTTCGATTGCTCCAAGTTAATTTGTGAACGCTGACGAATATTCAGTAAGGTTACTCGTTTGAAATCCTTCTGTATATTTCTTGAAATATTTTTCACTACAATGGCTTTTCACAAAAAGATAGGTGAGTTAGATGGAAAATTTATTGCTAAAGAACTTAAGATGATTAGTTTCCCTTTTTTATGGAATTTGCTGAAAAAAAATTAATTTAATTGCACTCTGGCATTTTTTCAATTAATCAAACTAAGAAATATTTTAAAGTGATCATTCTTCTTCTTCTAACAGCTCTCACCATTACTGTTAGGCTGGCTCCAACGGCTACAAGGGTAAGACGCTTCCAAGCGGCGCGATCTGATGCCATCTTCGACAGTAATGGAAACCATTCCTTTTTCCATCGTCCGCTCGACGAATCTGTAATATGTACCTTAGACAAGAGTGGTCAAAGGCAGAAAACTTCTTAATATCCTTTACTCTCATTGGCCATATCTCAGAACCATATAGTAAGATCAAACGGATCACGGCAATATAGATGCGAATTTCGTTTTTATAGTAATTTCACGACGGCATCCGTAAAAGTTTCGTTAACCTAGAAGAACGCATTTCTAACTGCCATGATCAGAGTTGTAATATCATCTTTTGTCTGGCTATTTGATATTAGAGTAGACTCAAGGTATTTAAAATTGCGCACTTTTTCAGCCGGCAATGAATTTATGAAAAAAGGTATTTTATCAGCATCTTATGATATGTATGTATTGTACAGGTTTGCTCCTGCGGGAAGTCGAACAGCAGCTTCGGCTGCTCCAAATTGAGCAACAACCCACTGATGACACTGACACGTTATTTAGCATTATTTCGTCAACAAAAAGGATTACATCAACAGCGTATTCGAGGTCTGTGATGCTATGTTCTGGACTGATTTGGACACCTCTTGAGTGCCGACAAGCGGTGTCCATTATCCAGTCTGTCGCGTAGTTGAATATTGTAATGGAAAAGACACAACTTTGACGGACACCAGTTCTTATTTCGAAGGAGCCTATCAATTCCCCATATACACAGACCTGCGCCGATATGCACTCATAAAATGCAATGCCTTTATGAGTCTAATGATTTTCTCTGGAACGCCGTCATGTTCCATCACTCTCCAAAGCATCGCTCTATCAACTGAATTAAAGGTAGCCGCAAAGTCGATAAAACACGTGATAGTGAGTAGCAAATATTTGAAGCGATGTTCCAACACCCTTCTTAACCTGAATATCTGGTCAACACAGCCGCCCTAGTCTGAAACCAGCTTAATTAGGGCGCATGCTCTCTCGTGCTTCCATAAGTCTGTTGAGTAGCAGGGAAGCCAAAATTTTTGCTGAGACGTCTAATAGGCTGATTCCTCGATAATTGTCGCAGTATTTCCTATCACCTTTCTTGAAAATTGGAAGCAGAATTGCTTTGCTCGAATCATCTGGTAATATTTCTTTTTTCCATACTAAAGAATATATTTGTTGAAGGTGCGTTATAAAGGACGATGGACAACATTTACCTAGAGTTTTGTTGGCCTTAAGTTTATGGATAACTGAAATTATTTCTTCTGTTGGAGGCTCGCAATTGCAAACGTATCAGCTATATCAGGGACAACAGATGGCACTTCATGGTTAAGTTTGGCCTCAAAGAATTCTTTCCATCTTACGAAGCGATTCTTAATACTTTTAATTAGTACGCCTTTGCTGTCTCTTTACCATTTCATTGATTGTTCCCCGAGTCATAGTTGCTTTATGAAGAAGGCAGAATAGTTTCCTATTGTCGTCTAATCGAGCTGCCGCCTCCATTCTTGAGGCCATGTCACTCCAATAGAGATTTCTGTCCCGCCTTTCGTTGCAAATCTTCGAAGCACCCAGAAGTTAGGATCACCTGACATTCGTGCTTTGGCAGCTTTTTCAGACAATTGGACAGTTGCTTCCGATACCCAACTAGCGCACTTCTACTATGCCTACTAGTATGTCCTAGCGTGGAAGTGGTTGATTTTCGGAGACATTCCTTTAGTTTGGACCAGTATTTATTTGCCGTTCCAGAAAAATCATTGATATTTGTATCATTGAGATGGTTCAATAATTCGGTTTGAAATACGCTCACTGTCCCCGAATTTTTTAGTTTGAGATAGTTGAAGGAATTAAGGGATGCTGTTTTCTGCGAATTGTCAATTTTATGCGGATCTTGGCTCGAACCATAACATGGTCAGATCCATGAAGATTGCCCGTTCCTATAGGAACAATTATCTAGTACGGAACTCTTCCAATGGCGATTGACTAAGATATAATCAATCTGGTTGAAATGTTGGTTGTTCGGGGAGTTCCACGTGACTAGATGTTTTTTGTGATGCCGGAAGCAAGTATTAGTAACAAAAAGTTCATGCTCTTCGGCATAACAAAGAAGACGTTCCCCATTGGCACACCGGTCTCCGATGTCATATTTGCCAATTGTTGAGATCATCGCAACAGCATTATGACTTACGCGAGCATTCCAGTCTCCCCCAATTATGATCATGTCATGTTTCGGTAGAGACTTTGTTAACAGTTGAAGTTCCGCATAGAACTTGTCTTTATCACGGTCATCTGCCGACAGAGTTGGAGCATAGACACTGATGATCGAGATATTGCAGAACTTACCTTTAAAACGGGCATAGGCCATATGGTCGTTTACCGCTTTCCACTCAATCAAAGCGGAATGGGCCTTTTCAGACATGTCAATCGCTACGCCATTTCGACCCGAGTTATTCGAAAGACCACAATGATATAGCCAGTATCTCTGAACCAGGATTAATAATTGCTAGAGACCCAAAGTGAGAAATACGGACCTCCGACGATAAGCAAGCGATATCCACACGATACTTAGACAGGGTGTGGACAATGATTGCTTGGCTTGCAACGTCCATAAGCGTTCTGAAGTTCCACGCTGATACGGCTAATACCTCGCCGCGTGTGCAGAGGGTTGTAGCTGTTCCCCTTGATAGGTTTCGAGTAATTAACCTGGCTTGAGAGCACATTTTATTTACCAGCCTTGGGATCGCTTTAAGCCCGGATTGTATATTTATCGCATTACCGCTGGGCTCGAAGTATCATACACGTCGGGAGAGGCTGACACCGTATGAAGTGTATCTTACCCTTTCACCATAGAATCACTTAGAGATAGAGTTGCAGATGGGTCCCCAGCAGCCACCCGGATTTTTAATAGCAGGTTTGCCAAAGACAAAAAAATTAAATTTGAAGAAAATAATAAAATGGACAATGAAATTTGAAAAATATGTATATATATGAAATATATATATATATATATATATATATTATAATTTATACAATTTAATTTAATTGATTTAATTTTAATTTATTTTATTATAATTTTAATTGCTTGGTAAAAAAAAATTAAAAGGACTTAAGAGGGCTTAGCTGAATTGTGATCAGAAATGAAAAATAAATTCAAAATAAAATAAATCGAGAGTATTTTTTTGAAATGACCGCTCAACAAAAATTTTTTCAATTTTTTCATTACTTTAAAGTGATAAAGTGATCATTATTTTACATGGTTCAAATAATAACAAAATTCAGATTTATCGTATTTATTTATTTTTAGCAAAGAAAAACGAAATAATCATCCATCCCTCGAATAAAAAGTACACTTTGATTATCGCGTCGTTTATAGCGCTAATATCTTTCTTAGTGGTTAGTTTCCTTAAAAATTATCAATCTATTTATTTAAGTCGTAGGTTTTATATGCCTTATTGCTTAAATGTTCAAAGTTGGAAATTGTAGTTTCCACATCGATATTTTTTCCAGATTATTCGTCATGAGTGTTCAGACAAATACCTTAAAAACCGTATTTTATCTTATTAGGTTGAAATTTGCCTCCATTAGATTACAATTTATTATCTTCTTATTCTCGATGTCTTAGGTGTATATTGAAGAAACTATTAGAAACTATTTACTAAAATTTTTATTAGCACATTAATTTTTCTTGTTCCAACATTATGATGAAAGCATCAGAAAATAACTTCAGGGAAAAAGTACAGATAAGCTCTTCACTCCTCGGATTACGTTTCGAAGACAATTTTATTCACGTCAGGGCAAACCACTGAATTGAACTGAACCATTGATAATTAAAGTCAAGATAGTAATTAACCATCTCGCTCCTAGGATATTAATCAAGTCATAATAGCATTTAGCATCTAAGCTATAGATTCTATTAAAATCTATTCTTTTACAGGTATGCTTCATTCCAGATTATAGTAAAAATGTGAATAAAATTTGCAAATTTTTAATGTTAAGCCGCAAAAATTCAATTGATTTGGAAATTACATACAATAAAGATAAAAACCACGATGATAAATCAGCAAAAGAACCGAAAAGGACCTCCGGTTTCAATGCAAATAAAAAAAGCATAAGCAAAAAACAAAGTACAGAAAAGAAAACTACCGTTAATAAACAACCAAAGCAACGAAATTTGTTGAAACCTGGTGAAATGTTTCTGCTTTTTACATCGAGACAATTCACAATTTTTGATGAAGTGGAACTGCGGCCTGAAAACAAGTAAAAATTAATTTTTTGCTAACTTTTTTGCAAATATTTTTAGAAATTTAACTCGAAAAAATCATATTTTTTTGAAGTTTTAAATTCTCATTCACATTAAATTCATTATTTTTATCATCCATAAAAATTATCTACAAGAGGGAATATATTTTGCAAAAAATGACAACATTTTGATCTTCATTTAGGTTAGGTATAACACGTTATATGAGGAGGAGATTGCAGCTCCATGCAGTATCGGATATTTCAAGAACCGGAATCATAATTCCCAATCGTCAGTTATATATTGTAAATTAAAGATATATACATATATAAGATATATAAAAACATACGAATATAATTTGATATTATATTAAAATTATATATAAGGAACAAATGAAAATAAAGCACCATGTCATGACTAGACAAGTGCTAAATTAAAGCAGTTTATGTTTATTACACTGATAGATAGATAGAAAATCAGATAGATAGAAAACGATAATGTTTTGTTCATTTGAACTGAATTCATTTGAGGAATTCATTTATTAATAGCTTACTATAAAAGAGTATAGCTACTGTTCTGTCTAGTGAAAGCAGGATGAATTCGATTCCTAATTTTTGACAAGTAAAACTTAGGGTGGTTGTGTTCCCAAGTGAATCGAAATGACCTTAATTAGTCAGTCGAAAGAACTAAACCTATCATGTTATCTGCTGTTAGTAAAATATTTTCAGTTTTGCGTTAGCTGTCAACGCAACCACCATTAATTATTTATTGTCTATTAACTTTAATGTTTAGCTCCATAATTATTAATAAATATAAGTATTTTATGTGAAGTGAAATGGGAAATGTTTTCAGTTCATCAATTTCAAAAAACCACAGTGATTTTTACATAAAAATTCTAGGAATATCGTATCCCATAAATACATCGCAATGGGAAATCGATTACAAAGATCTGAGAAGTCCTTACTTGCGTTATATGATAGCAACAGCATATTCGATGGAAGCGATAAGCCTTGAAGAAGCGATTCCTGGCAATATTTTAATAATTGGCTTGGGTGGTGGTGCAATGAATAATTATTTACGTCATCAAACTAAAAATGTTGGAATTTTTACGAAACGATCGCAGCTTTAGTTGAACATTAAACATAATTCGAATTCTTTAAATTCAATAATAAAAAATATATTCAATATATGAGAAAATAAATATGCAAAATTGGTAAAAAATTTTGTCCCGAAGGTGATTTTTCTAGATGAAATTAAATCTAACTGGCTGAAAATTCTGTTATTCAGATAAATACAACAGTTGTAGAAATTGATCCGTTATATCTAGACATTGCCACTAAATATTTCGGATTTATCGAAGATGATCGTCAACGATGCATTATTAAAGATGGTGCAGTGTACATAAAGGAAAGCGTTGAACGGGGTTACTTAATCTAAAAATTCTAATTTTAATTAATTGACATCTATGCGAGTATATTTTCTTCATTAAGTTTTTCTTAGTCTGAAATGCAAGACTGAAAATATGTTTCGTAACAAAAGATAAGATTTTCCAGGTGAAAAGTTCCACGTGGTTGTTATAGATGCATCATATTCTGATATAACTTACACTTTGTGTCCATGTGAAATATTTTTTAATGAATCAGTCGCAGCCTACTTACCCAAAATTATTGAAACTACTGGTGAGCTTTTTCGTTTTCTAAGTAAATTAAATGAATAAAAAGAAAACTGTCAAATATCACACCTTTTAATTGCAAAACTCGTTAATTATTCCGTAGTAATATCTATAAATTTAAGCGAACTTAATTTTTAGGTATTCTACTGGTGAACTATGTGTCTTTTGGAATCAAAATATATCCGGCAGAACAGGTAGATTTAAAAAAAATTTAAATAGGATTCGAGGCTAAAATCGAAAAATTTCCTTCAGTATTCGACAATGACTGAAGCCTGTCTCCACTCTTTTTACTAAAGGGACAAAACCTCTCACCGGAGACAATTGGTGATACAAGTGCAATTAAGTCCTCAGCACTAACCGATGAATGATGCCGCAAATTTCATTGGGAAATTCAGTTTAGAACACCGGATTCAAAATTGAAAAATCTCGACATATATTTCTTTTTCTACACCTGCGCTTATTTTTCTTTAACTACATTTCATTTATTTCATAGATTTAGAATTTAACAATCGATGAAATTATCTAGAGAGAAGCGCAAATTAGTGATTAAAAGATGATTAATTTTTCAGATTCTCGATGTATACAGGCAGTTTTTTGAAGGCTGTACTATTAATTCTATCAAAAAAAGTTTAAACATGGTAAGTAAATCGACAATTAAATAAATGTGGCAGAAAATGATACAATTCCACATTTCCTTATCTTTGCATATAAATTTATTTTCTTATTGTTTAAGTTTTTATATTCAATATGATTATTCTGTCGAAAAATTTTTGCCAAAAATGAATCAAGCAACTTTTCCTATTATCCTCACTGAACTGTTTAATTAGTGTTTTCCTTGTAAGATGAAGAAGAATGGCATGTTTATTTTCTTTCTAAATTTACAATGAGTTTTCGGCCCAATTTGGGCCCATTTGTCTTCTCAGCAACATTCTCTTTCTCAGCTTTTGTGATTAATGCGCAAAGAAATTTATATTTCAAAAAGCTGCAGCATTGATCCCATAAATATCTCATATTTCTCATACCAATCGTTCATATTTTTGTTAAAAATTTTTTACTGTTGAATTTCAAGGCTCAGAAAAAAATTTCGAAATCTAAAAAGAACTTTACAAAAACTAAAAGGCAGAATAAAACTTTCTTCTTATTGAAAATCTGGCAAATTACAAAATTTACATTTCAGTATATTGTGTGCGTGAAAAGATACAATCGGCTAAAATATCTAAAAAGCAAGGAATTTAAAAAAAATTTTAAAAAATATTGGATGAAACTCAACTTTCCAAACGAGGAGTAATTTTTCTTTTGATTATTGAATTAATTAATTAATTAACTGTAAAATAAAATGTTTTTATAAAATTGAGTTCAGCACTTTTCACTCTTTATTTAACCATTTTTCACCCTTTCCTCATTGTTATTGTTATTCCTTAACAATTTGGTTTGCTAGCTTACGCTAGTTAGGTATGTTTGATTAAATTTCATATTTTTTTGGCCATAGTTCACAAATTCTCACAGATTCTACTCCCATATTTCTCACATATTTCTTATCAGACGGTTTTTCGTATATTATTCAGTTTTTCTTTATAAATACTCTTCGGATTTTTTTACTCAGTTGAATTTCAACTTTTCTATTGGTCGATAAATTTTTAAAATTCTTTTGATAATGAAATTGTAGACATTTTTGTATTTTAGGACCAATTACTTTTCAACAATATAAATAATAATATAAAAAAATTTATTTTTGAGTATAAAACTTATAGATTGTGAAAAAAAATAATCATAATAAATGATAAGTGGTTAGCGCTCATTTCTGATTTTTAATTTGATTTAAAAATGATTTTTAACAGAGAACCATGTGGAGATAAATTAGAAGTATGCTCCCATATGTGTTTTTAAGTGACTCATTACCCGTATCAGATATATAAGATATACCTTGGCAATCGAGACGATCTGAACAACAACACTCGGCTATCACGCATCATAAATCCAAAGAAATTTCTTTTCTTTTAAAAGAATTGCAAAAGTGGAGAAAAACTGGTTCATGAATTATACTAATAAGGAACAGAAAGCATTTCCTTTACAGTGGCTCATTTCTTTTCTATTCACAACTTATGGGTAAAATAGACAGAAAGAAAATAGAAAAATAAAATAAAATTATTTTAAGGACTTGAAGTGGATTAAATAAAATGATTGCATAATCGAGTGCATGTTTGGATTTCACGGAATATAATATTGTGGCGGAATTTTTCAGTTTAAATAGAGCGATTTTAAGCGTAAAAAATAAATAAAATGCATAAAGAGAAACAAAAAGCTTCGGAAAGTAGTTACCCTTAAGAGATATTTAATATTTATTTAATAGAAAATTTACTAAATTTACTTGAATAAATTAACGTAATAAATGCGAAGTTGCACTGAAATATTCGAAAAATATGAAACAATAATTAGAAAAACATAAAATTCAAAAGAAAGAAATCTCTGAATTCTTACTCAAAAAAATATATTGCTTGGATTTTCATTACCTATTTTGAATATTTAAAAAAGCAATGGAAAAGTAAATTAATAAAACGATATTTATTAATTTACCATTATTATTTTATAATTTATTTATTACTTATTATTATCTACCATTATTATTGCGTAATAGTATCTTCTGCGAATCAGACAAGTATTTTTTTTCTTAAAATTTTACTCTTTTAATTATCTTTGAATAAAATTTTATTTTTTTCTTAAATTTAATTGTCTTTGAAAGGAGTAAATCTCATGGTGTCAAAAATCCGAGTGGCTGCTTGGGACCCACGCGTATCTCTGTCCCCTCGACTCTATGGTGAAAGGGTTAAGTCTTTTTGACATGGCATTCGCATTTTCCGATGCTTCTAACCTGGTACATGCCATAAATATATGATCTGTAATAATAATAAAGTAATTCCAAGGCTTGAAGATAGAATTTGTTATCACTGTGGTTTCTCGGATAACTTGGGGACGAAATGATATAGCGATTGTCATGTCTGAAAATGTTCGGTTCCGTTCTGATAGAGTAGACCAGTAAACGATGGCCTATATTCGCTTCAAAGTTAAGTTTTCCAATATATTGGTCATCAGTACTGAGTTGCGCCAACGTACGCTGATAAAATGCCTTTATGAGTCGAATGATCTTCTCGGAACACCGTCGCGTTCATCACTCTTCATCATCCTCCAAAGCGCCGTTCTATTAATTAAATCGAAATTAGTCGCAAAGTTGATGAAAGTTGGAGATATTTGAAGCAATGTTCCAACACCCTTCTTAACGCGTGAATATCTTGTCAGCACAATCACGCTGAATTCAGCTTGATTAGGGCAGATCCTGCTATACTATATTGTCATAAGTCTATTAGATAAATTGGATAGTCGATTGGATATTGGATAAAAAGGAAGTTAAAATTTTTGCTGAGATGTCTATTTACGCTCGACATCGATAACAATATGTCTAGAATTTTCTTGAAAATTGGGAGTAGAATTACTTTGCTCCAGTATTCTGATAATATTTCCTTTTGCTATACTAGAGAATAAATTTGTTGAAGGTTCATTATGAAGGACGATAAACAACATTTGAAGGGCTCAGCTCGCAGATTTTCGGATTCCCGGAATCTTATTGGCCTTAAGCTCACGGATAGCAGATATTATTTCTTCTTCTGTTGGCAGCTTGCTGTTGTAAGCATATGGTTTGACGAATGTATCAGCTATGTCCTGGTCAACAGATCTGCATCATGGTTAAGTTTGGCTTTAAAGAAATCCTTCCACCTTATGAAGCGATCATTACTACTTTTAACATGCACACCATTGCTATCCCTTACCATTTCTAAATGTTCCGGAGAAATCTACTGATGAAGAGACTGCTACTGCCGACAGGCTTTTAGTTGAGAGTATTGTAGCAGCTAGGATGCAGACTGGCTACATTAAGGAAGTCCGACGACATAGAAGAAAGGGGTCAGGCAAACTACGAGTACTTAAGATTCGACTTGAAGAGAAGTACATGGCTATGTCTGTATTGCGTAATAATAACGTCCGCTCGATTGTTCCCCACGGAAGTTTTTTGAGAAAGGGTCTGACGAAAAGAGGACTATTACTAGACAAACAGTTGCGTAAAGAATGTTATGTGCGGAATCAGAATCTCAATCTGAAGAAGAAGTACGTTATCAGAAATCTTCAAATTGTGGAATTAAGGCAGCCTCGCCAATGGTTTAAAACGACGAACGACTTTTCTATTCTAATTTCCTCCTATCAGTCTACTACAGCTTAGGACAACTTGCCAAGTAAGATTAATAAAATAGGAAGTAATTTATCTTTATACATATTTAATGCAAGAAGTTTAAAATATAAACTTTATGACTTACAACTCTTACTAATTGATAACCCAAATAGTATTTTTTATATTAACGAAACATAGTTGGATGATTCTACTGATAATCGGGAATTAAACTTCGATAACTTTCTAGTATAACGCAATGATAGAACAATAAACAATTTAAATACTCGTGGAGGTGGACTTATCATGTTTATTATAAATTTGTTAATAATTATTTGTAACTTTAAGTTACAAATTTGTAACTTTTGATGATTACGTTTGTTTCTCTTTTGAATCTCTAATAACTAAAATTTATTTATCTTAATAATAGAAACATTTTCCTTTTGAATGTATATCGCCCACCTGGCTTTTGTATATGTATATTGTATAGTATATTCACTAGGGATCAACCTGTTATTTAGATTAAAAATATTTGATGCCGATTATGTAATTGTTGGCGATTTTAATATACCAAATATAGATTGGGAAAATAATTGCTTGAAAAATAGCAGCAAATTTGAAGAGGACTTTCTAAACCTTTGTACCTATATGGGCCTAGAGCAACATGTTAAGATTGCCACTAGGTATAACACTATTTTACATGCTGTGTTAGCTGCTTCTACTTCTTTTGTTGATAGCATTAGAGTCTTGGAGCCTTTTTGTAATAGTGTCACAATATCATTCATACTTCATTAAAATTAGATCGTTATATACTTCCCTCGAGATATTACAG